GGTAAAATCCCGATTTCACCCGGAACATTTCCGATATCCAAACATAGGCTTCCAATATATCAATATTTATGTCTCGACCATTTCGAGACTCCTCGTCATGTCCGTGATCACATCCGGGACTCCGAAGAACCTTCAGTACATCAAAATGCATAAACTCATAATATAACTGTCATCGTAACCTTAAGCGTGCGGACCCTACGGGTTCGAGAACAATGTAGACATGACTGAGACACGTCTCCGGTCAATAACCAATAGCGGGACCTGGATGCCCATATTGGCTCCTACATATTCTACGAAGATCTTTATCGGTCAGACCGCATAACAACATACGTCGTTCCCTTTGTCATCGGCATGTTACTTGCCCGAGATTCGATCGTCGGTATTCCAAATACCTAGTTCAATCTCGTTACCGGCAAGTCTCTTTACTTGTTCTTAATACATCATCCCGCAACTAACTTATTAGTTGCAATGCTTGCAAGGCTTAAGTGATGTGCATTACCGAGACGGCCCAGAGATACCTCTCCGACAATCGGAGTGACAAATCCTAATCTCGAAATACGCCAACCCAACATGTACCTTTGGAGACACCTGTAGTACTCCTTTATAATCACCCAGTTACGTTGTGACGTTTGGTAGTACCCAAAGTGTTCCTCCGGTAAACGGGAGTTGCATAATCTCATAGTTATAGGAACATGTATAAGTCATGAAGAAAGCAATAGCAACATACTAAACGATCGGGTGCTAAGCTAATGGAATGGGTCATGTCAATCAGATCATTCTCTTAATGATGTGATCCCGTTAATCAAATAACAACTCCTTGTTCATGGTTAGGAAACATAACCATATTTGATTAACGAGCTAGTCAAGTAGAGGCATACTAGTGACACTTTGTTTGTCTATGTATTCACACATGTATTATGTTTCCGGTTAATACAATTCTAGCATGAATACTAAACATTTATCATGATTATAAGGAAATAAATAATAACTTTATTATTGCCTCTAGGGCATATTTCCTTCACCCACACCTCGTTCTTATCCCAACCGAGGAAGCTCTCGACCACACGTCTTTTTCTCCCTATACATTACACTTGACCACAAACCACTTCGGCCAATCTCTTGAATCTCGTCGGCGCTACAGGCCATGGGTGCGCCGCTCGCGGTAGCGTTCACCGGCATTGCAATCGAGGAATCTCGCCGGGGCGCTGCAACTGGGGTAGTTGATGCTGTAACCGACGGGCTGCTGCAATCTAGTGCGTGACAGTGGCTGCTGTCGCCGACGTTGCAACTGCACGGCTTGCTGGCGCACCAATGGCGGGAGTGGCCGCAGCGTCGGCACCGTCGGCCGTTGGCTGCGGTTGGGGTTGTCGAGCAAGTCGGTGCAACGCCGCCGGTGTTGCGGAGGAGGAGCGCGCAATCCCTGGATCTCGTCGGCGGCGAGGGATGTTTCCACGCAGCGTGCGAAATGTCGGTGGAGTGACGGACCTGCAGTGCAACACGCCGGTGGACAGGGTAGAGCTACAATGCCCGACGACGGAGCTGCAGTGCAACGGTCGGTCCGCTGATGAGGGGGGGTGCGGCTGCTGCGGTTCAGCTGGCTGCGTTGACCGATCGAAGGGTTCGGGAGCAACAGATCCGACGGCCCAGGTGAAGTAATCAGTTGCTTGATTTGTAGCAATGGCCTAATTATTTCTCCCACCCCGCTAGTGATTTCGCCGAATCGGCCGAACCGACGCGTCCCACTCCCACCCCGCTAACCGTGCTCAGGCGACACGTGACAGCACGTGACGCAAATCTCATCCTGCTCACTCCACTCCAACTCACCCGACAGAAAGAGGGGAACAGAAAGCCCTAAATCTTCCCCGCTCTTCCCCTCCGTCTCTCCCCCCTGCCGTGGCGGCGCGGCGGCGCGATTCCTTGGCTGCCCGGCGGCCGCGGCTCACGGGACCAGCGGCCAGGGGATCAGCGACGGCAGGGCTCGGCTCCCTCCTCTCCTCTCCCTCCTAATCAAGGTAAGAAACGGAGATCTGCTACCCGCGTACTACATGGTCGTAGAATGTTTTCCTAGCTGTGGGTGGATCGATGTCGCCGTCCACATGATTCCGGATTTTTGTTTTGTTTTACATCAACATGGTCTTGGAATGTATCTTGCTGCGCATACGATTGTTGATGGGAGTTGTTTCGCTTGTGCGATGTAGAATTTTTTTTATAGCGTACGCGCATTGTAGATGCCAAGAGGATGGTTGGGAGGAAAAAGATGACTAGGGGAGCTGCTGTTTTCGGGGCTCTCGCTGCTATGTCTTTAAGCTATGGCTGTAATTGTTCGTTCGGCTATGATAAGGAAGAGGAGACCACACGGTGAATCTGGGATAGAAATGGAGGATAGGTTGAAATCATTAGCCACTGTGCTAAACTGAGATATGATTGTAGTCTGGTACAATTCAAGAAACTACTTGGCTTCATTTTTTGCTCTCCGATTCGGGGGCATTACTTATGTTGCTTAAAAACATAATGATGTCTATCTCTCCATTTGTAAATCACAGCAATAAGAAACTGAAAAACCTGATTAGACCCTTATATATAAGAGTTAAGGGCGTAGTTAGACAATCAGGGATTCTGTTAGCAACTCTCTCCTCAGATGCGCAGCTACGTCCCATCTCTGTTCGATGACCACATTGGCCATGACTAGGGTTTGTTTTCTCCACTCATTTTAGGGAATTTTCTCTCCTCGTGTGTTGTACAGTGCTCTGTGCCAACACGTGAGACTGCAACTGTTGGGTGAGTGATTGGTCTATAGCACTGTCCTCATCTGTTCACATGGCATATTTGATGGACTGAGCTTTATATGCACTGCACTTTTTGGTATGCGTAGCATGTGATGTATGTATCACTTTATATCATGTGTGTACTCTTTGTCTCCCATTGTAGAATTCACAATTCAGAAAAATAAAGAGTGAGGGATTTAAATTAAAATTTGAAAAAATGAAGCTAGGTTGCAATTTTTGTACTACCTTGGGCGAGATGGTTGTGCTGCGGTGTGGATTTACAGCTGTCAGTCAGCCAACCATTGGCAGGATGCGCGGGCTGGCGCCTAGCGGTGAGATGTTGCTTGCGGTGGATCTGGGAACATGGCCACACATAGTGGGGACATACGCTGCCTCTTCGAGCCCGCGTGTCATGATCGTCTTGCATGCTCAAGTGTTGCTACAACGTGGTGCGTGAATTCAAAATAGCTTTTTCATACAAGTTGCAGCCCCCCTCCCCTGCCTTTGTGCCTAACACAAGCCTGTCTGAACTCTTCCAGAGTTGCCGGCGACCTCTTCCCTGTCATCCTCCTTCCTAAATTCCTTTTCCTGTGAGCCATCAAATCCAAAGCTTTCCTTTCAGGCCGTTTAGGTGTGGAGTACTAGTCTGATCCATCTTGCTCAGTCTGTACTTGTGCACAAGATCAATCTTTGCGGGGTCTTGTACTATGAATGCATATAATAAGACTTGGCTATTACCTTTGATCGTTAATCAACCAATTTTCAATGTGCACATGTGTCCACCCATGTTTAATTGTAGTGGTTGCTGTTACTCTGTAATCCTATGTTGCAATACTTGGTATTTGGCCATGCGGGTGCTTGAGGGATGATAGTTCCTTTATCCCATGGATGACAATTGGCACAAAGTTATACTAATTGTTACTCCCTCTGTAAGGAAATATAAGACGTTTTAGGTCACTAGCTTAGTGACCTAAAACATCTTATATTTCCTTACAGAGGGAGTACCATTTTTAATTCTCAGCAGGGTAAGCATTTTAAAGCATCAATGTATTGCCAGCTATTCTTTTTGAACTTTTGTTTGTTTATCTGCAACTGTTTTCATACCAATATCAAATATTATGTGTAAAATTTGCTCGTTTCGACTTGGTGTTGTACAAATGGGAAGTCATTGTCCAATCTTAGTTCTGTCGTCGTACATATTCAAACAGCAAACAACAAGTCTATCAGTTCCTACTAATAGGTCCTTTTTGCTTAACTCATTCGTCGTCCTATGCTCCTTGAAGTTGTCTTAGCTCAAAGCCATTTGTAGCGTAAAAATGGCTGAACTGTTTGTGTATAAAATTTTCAGTTGGCATAATGTCAGTTATACTAATTGTTACCATTTTTAATTGTCAGTAGGGTAATCATTTTAAAGCATCAATGCATTACCAGCTATTCTGAACTTTTGGTTGTTTACTTGCAACTGTGTTTGTACCACCAATCCACCATCAATTATTATGTATTAAATTTGCCATTTTTCTGACTTGATATTATACAAATGGGAAGTTATTGTCTAATCTTAGTTCTGTTGTCGCACATATTCAAACAGCAAGCAACAAACATATATTTGCTTCCTACTAATAGGTCCTTTTGGCTTAACTCATTCTCCATGCTACGCTCCTTGAAGTTGGCTTAGCTCTGAGCCATTTGTAGCCTAAAAATGGTTGAACTGTTTGTGTATAAAACTTCCAATAGTAAGTATTACTCTATCTGAATCCAGAAAAATGTTGTTTTTGATTTTTCATGCTGTCTAATACACAAGCTTTAAGATACTTTGCTGCCATAGCTTATAATTTTTATTTTTTAGGGTACCATAGCTTATAAATTAGGAAAGAAAATAATACCATGGAAGCATTGTGTCGAATACTAATGCCATTTTTGGATGGGCAATCTCAATATTACAAAAGTACAATTATTTGTCATGATTATGCTATTAATTTTGCATGTCTTTAATTGTAATCTGATGAACAATCAGACTTAATTTTTTTTCTAGATCTGCCTGTAATACTTCACTATCTGCATTTCACAAATAACAGTTTAAGTTCTTTATGAATTCTACACTCAAGGCACTGAATGATTTTTTTTTTCAGCTTTCTCTGAAGTATGGCTTGTGGACTAGTGTAGACCTGTAGACAAAGACACAAAGGAATTGCTGGCATAAGTCTTCATTTGAGAAAGATCAGTTGGCAGCTTACAATGGCTGGAAATCAGCAGCCGGCTTCAGTTGTGTTGGATTATGCAGCAGTCCTCGACGCCAAACCCTTGCGCACACTGACCCCCATGTTCCCTGCACCGCTTGGGATGCACACTTTCACCCCTAAAAGCTCATCTTCAGTTGTCTGTGTCACCCCATTTGGACCATATGCTGGAGGTACCGAACAGGGAATGCCTGGTGGTGTTCCGCCAATGTTAACATCACTGTCCGCTCCTGCAGATCCCAACCAGGTGCAGCCATATACGGCTCATATGAATGGAACTTCTAATGCTAATGGTACTACAAACAACACAGTGGTTACCCCTGTGTTGCAAACTCCTCCAGCACCCACTATACAGGAATCTGGTAAGAAGAAGAGGGGGAGACCCAGGCGTGTGCAAGATACCACTACTGTTCCTTCGGTTCCTCCAGTTCAACCGGTTCCAACGGTTCCTCCAGTTCAACCGGTTCCAACGGTTCCTCCAGTTCAACCGGTTCCAACGGTTCCTACAGTTCATTTGGTTCCTTCAGTTCCTTCAGCTCCTCCAGAAGTTAATAATATTGTTCTCCAGACACCTCCTTCAGCCGTCACACAGGAATCTGGTAAGAGGAAGAGGGGACGACCAAAGCGTGTGCCAGATGTTTCTGTCTTACCAACTCCATTGCCTGCAGCAGATGGTACACCTATTTTACAGACACCTCCTGCATCTAGTGTACATGAATCTGTTACAAAGAAAAGGGGGCGGCGACCCAAGCTTGTGCAGGATAGTCCAGATACTTCAACTCCTCCAGTTCATTCAAAAGAGAGTAAGCCCTTTATGCAGACTCCTTCTGCAGTCACCTTATTGGAGGGTGGTAAGAGGAAGAGAGGGCGGCCGAAGCGTGTGCCTGATAGTTCAGTGACTCCTTCAAGTCATTCTGGCCTTTCAGTAGATGTTGACAGTGGTGACACATCAAAACGTGGCCGGCCTAAAAAAATTGACACAAGCCTGTTGCACCTACCGTCTTTGTTTTCAGACGATCCCAGGGAGTCCGCAGATAATGTGCTTATGATGTTTGATGCACTGCGACGACGGCTCATGCAGTTGGATGAGGTGAAGCAAGTAGCAAAGCAGCAGCAAAACTTGAAGGCTGGGAGTATCATGATGAACGCTGAACTTCGCCTCAATAAGAACAAGAGGATTGGAGAGGTTCCAGGTGTCGAGGTTGGTGACATGTTCTACTTCAGAATTGAGATGTGCCTGGTAGGGTTAAATAGTCAGAGCATGGCAGGGATAGATTATATGTCTGCTAAGTTTGGTAACGAGGAGGACCCCGTGGCCATTAGTATTGTGTCAGCTGGTGTGTATGAGGATGCCGAAGATGATGATCCAGATGTTCTGGTTTACAGTGGACATGGCATGTCTGGTAAGGATGACCAAAAGCTTGAGAGAGGTAATCTTGCACTGGAGAGGAGTTTGCATAGGGGTAATCCCATTAGAGTCGTTCGCACTGTGAAAGACTTGACTTGTTCAACTGGTAAGATATACATATATGATGGCCTTTACCAGATCAGAGAAGCCTGGGTGGAGAAAGGGAAATCTGGTTTCAATATGTTTAAACACAAGTTGCTCAGAGAACCTGGACAACCTGATGGCATTGCAGTGTGGAAGAAGACTGAAAAATGGAGGGAAAATCCATCCTCTAGAGATCGTGTTATATTGCACGACATATCATACGGTGTGGAAAGTAAGCCTATCTGCCTTGTAAATGAGGTTGACGATGAGAAAGGTCCTAGCCACTTCACCTATACAACTAAACTTAATTACATGAATTCCCCAAGCTCAATGAGAAAGATGCAAGGCTGCAAATGCACAAGCGTATGTCTACCCGGTGATAACAACTGTTCTTGCACGCATCGAAATGCTGGTGACCTTCCTTACAGTGCTTCAGGCATACTTGTTAGTCGGATGCCTATGTTATACGAGTGCAATGATTCATGCACTTGTTTACATAATTGCCGGAACCGGGTTGTACAAAAAGGTATCCAGATCCACTTTGAAGTGTTTAAGACGGGAGATCGAGGTTGGGGCCTGCGTAGTTGGGATCCAATCCGAGCAGGCACATTTATCTGTGAATATGCAGGTGTAATTGTTGACAAGAATGCTCTTGATGCAGAAGATGATTATATCTTTGAGACCCCTCCTTCGGAGCAGAACTTAAGATGGAACTATGCACCAGAATTACTGGGTGAACCTAGTCTTTCTGACTTAAACGAATCATCTAAGCAGTTGCCAATAATTATTAGTGCAAAACATACTGGTAACATAGCTCGCTTCATGAACCACAGCTGCTCACCTAATGTTTTTTGGCAACCAGTTCTATATGACCATGGTGATGAGGGATATCCACACATCGCCTTCTTTGCAATTAAGCATATTCCTCCAATGACAGAGCTTACATATGATTATGGTCAGAGCCAAGGTAATTCTGGGTGTCGGAGGACTAAAAGTTGCTTATGTTGGTCTCGCAAGTGCAGGGGTTCCTTTGGCTAAATAATCAACCTTTAAGGGATGATTTGCCAGTTGAAGGTTAGTGATTTCTGATTATTTTTTCCTTTCTGTACATTACTTTTCCGAAAGTTGTCATATTTTCATTTTATTGGTGTTATCTATTGGAGTTTCAAGGGTGTGATGTTTTCTGAGATGTTGATAGATGCAAATATTCCAGTAGAGCATTGCTCGTTTGCACTCCTTTACAAAGTCAGGAGTCACAGTATATAAACGGGGCATATGCAGTATTAATGTTAACTGCATTGGCTTGGAATCTGAAAGGTAGCAAGAAAGATGTGCCAGTGGGATCACTTCATGTCTAAACACCGCAGTGTCGGTCAGAAATTGTTTAAACACCGTAGTGAGAAAATACTGAACATGTTGAACACCATATACACTCTGGCACACCAGTCTCCATGCCTACCAAGAACCAGGATAAATAGCTCACCTGTGCTCGAGCACCGTTTTGGATATCCGATAATGTTGTTTTATGCCACATGTGGGTTATTTTCAGAACACTTCTCCCTCTCTTGATTTTGAAACACTGAGCTTATTTTAGTTATGATGAAATTTGCATAAGGCTCAACACAGCAACTGCTGAAACTGTTTGTTGCTCATCCGCCTGTAGAAGCTGTTAATTGTACGTGTGGGTCGTTTTCTGATGACTTTATCTTTGATGAACAGAAGCAGCTGATGGTCGTGGCATTATGTGTGAGGTGTTCCAGCCACAACTGGAAGAACTTGCTGCCCCTCTCTAACCGGGGTTGGAATGCGCAGTAGAGTACAAAGGACTAGATGTTGTAATAAAGGGCCATCTATGTTTCTATGGTGTTGTTAGCTGTAGTTGAGTGCTCCGGGGTTTAAAACCAACCAGTGGAATTTTATGCATTGTCATTGCAAAGATGTTTCGAGCCGCAGTGAATCTATCGTTTTCGATTTGTAATCCTAGCGGATCAAATGCACCCTGTTATTGCCGTGGAGAGCAAATGAACGGCAAAATTCATAATGATCCAGCTGGGATTGCCCATGCTCGTGCGTGAGGTAAAAAAGATGGGGGCAGACGGCAGGGAGAGCGCCGGCCCCCCTATTTTTATTTTATGATTTGGTGAATGGATTTGATGGTTGATTGAGTAGATTTGGCGCTTTCGGTTTTTCAAGTGTTTCTTTTTTCTTCTCTCGTGTTCTTGTTCTTCCCCTATTCTTTCGAAACTTTCCTTTTCTGTTCTTGATCAGATTTCTTGTGGAGGATGGTGCTCCTGCTCCTATGAATAGGCTCGCTGGGATTTTCGGCTTTGCTGTGTAATTTGGTGCCTTTTACGTGTTTGTTGGTTTGACTACAAGAACTGAATCTTTTTTTCAAGTTGGTCCATTCGGTATATATAGTGTATTTCAAATGATTTGAAGCTCATTTGCATGTAAATGGTGATCTGTGACATGTTTAAAAAAATGAAGTGTTTGAAATGATTGAGCCCGTAACTCTGGCTCCTTGTAGAGTAGATAGCTTAGAGAGCAAAAGAAACCATGTATAGAAACTCTTAGCAAAAATACTGTCCTAATTTATTCGGAGGAGCATGGCCTAATTTACGGGCTCAGATGTGTCAGCTTTAGGCCTGAGAGAGAGCGTGAGATTGACTGCATGGACACTTGATTATCTCTCCACCCATAGAAAAGCTAATACTTTTTTTTCCTATGAAATATTAATTCATTTGTATCTTATGAAAAAAAAATCTATTTTTGAATCTTTTTACATATTTGGATTTCCGATGTTGAGATCTTTGAAACAATATTTGAATATATTTTAAATAATTTTAGAATTCATGAAACATATTTCACTTATTTCTAAAAAACAGGTTTCACTCGTCTCTTTAAAACCGGGTGTTGAATATATTCCAAACACTGATTTCACTCATTTCAAAACGCTGATTTCACTCATTTGGAAACACTTTCACTTATTTCAGAAGACTTGTTTCACCCAATTCATTTTTTTATCATTTCCAAAAATAATGATTTCACTTGTTTAAAGCAACATATTTCACTCATTTCAAATAACACAATTCAATATTTTTCTAAATCATCGATTTCATTAGTTCAAAAATACTTATTCCACACAACTAAAAAAGTTACTAATTTCAAAGAGGCGATTTCACTCATTTCACACAATTCAGAAAAATGTTTTCACTCATTTCAAACAACTGATTTCAGTCAAATCGAAAAACAGATTTCACTCATTCCAAAAGACTTATTTCACTCATTCAAAAAATATATAAATTTGCTCATACAGAAGAAAAAAAAAATCTGATTTCGACAATTTCAGAAAACATATTTCACTTGTTTCAGAAGACTTATTTCACTCATCATTTCAAAACACAAATTTTACTCGTTTGAATATCTGGCTTCATCCATTTCAAAAGCACATTCCACTCATTTCAAACAATGATTTAACTTCAGGAAAATAAATTCTCTCATTAAAAAACTTATTTCACTCATTTAATTTTTTTACAATTTCACTTGCACAGAAAAATCTGTCATGGGTGTGTGGTGCGTTGCATGGTGGAGTGGGTCTATGTTATTTGCTCTAGACCTCTGCCAAAGCCGCCTGCACAAAAAGTGGTCAACATGCATGGGAAAGAATGACTATACAATCATGTATACGTACTATGATACACGCATACAGCGAAGGCGTTTGCATGCACTCGGATCTTCAAGGGAAACAACCGCGGTAGAGGCACGGACCTCCCGTGCACGTAGGAATCTCTTTTCTTGAGGAATCTGTTTTCGACAAATGAGTTCAGCATAGTTGTGCTGGATTCGTGCATGCAACCTTCCAAGAAACGACTCGATAAAATTTTGTTGAGCCATTACATTGGAAAGAAAATTATTTTTATTCAATCATGCGGGATAGTGGAGATATCCATACATTTGGACGTAAGATAAGCAGTAGATAATAGATAATTAACACGATCTGTCGCTGCAAAAAAGCGATTAATCAATTAAGGTAAAATAGCAAAAAAGGAGAGCAAATTGACCGGCTCCAGCTGACCGAGCCTCAATGGATCACTTCCCGATCATGGCGAGCAGCGCGTCCCTGTAATGTCCGTGGGTGTTCTTGGCGACGGTGTCCACGAGCTTGTCCCCGTGCTGTTTCAGGTAGGCCTCCTTGATCTCCTCCATGTCGGCGTCGGACCGGGACACGACGACGCGGGTCAGCGCCGCCTTGGCCTGCTTGTCCGCCCCCTCCTTGAACGCCCCGTCGATCACCTCGCCGAAGTACCTGGCCGGCGACTCGAGGCACCTCACGGCCTCCCGCAGGCACGGCGCCTCGCCGCCGAACTCCTCCTCCAGCGGCTTGCCGTGGAGCTCCCTGTACAGCCTGAAGGTCGCCCGGAGCTGCGGCTTGCTCCTGGTGGCGAGCACCCGCACCACGAGCTCGCTCTGGGCCGCCTTGGCTCCGGCGCCGGAGAGCGCCGCGGCCTCCTCCTTGGCGAGCTCCTCGTCGACGCGCGGGCCCTCGTAGCGGTAGGCGGTAACGAGCCCGAGCAGCAGGCGGTTGGCGGCGGCGTCCTTGACGCGGTACGCGACGTCCTCCTCGAGGGAGCGGTGGTAGAGCGCGTGGTAGGCGCGGCGGGCGCCGAGGAGCTCGTCGGCGGCGCGCGTGCAGGCGAGCTCGACGAGGACGGCCACCGGGTGGTGCTTCTTGTGCAGCGCGCGGTGCGCCCAGCGCGCGTCGCGCTCCCACGGGTGCATCGCCCACAGCACCATGAGGGTCTTGAACCGGGCGAACTCCGTCTTGAGGTGCCGCACGTAGTCGTCGGAGCAGCGCTCGATCGCCCCCGCCCCCGCCCCCGCCGCCGCCGGCGCGAAGAAGCCCGGGAAGCCCCTGCGGAACTGCGCCCGCTTCTCCGGCTGCTTCCTCCACCGCCCCAGCGCCGACACCAGCGCCGTCTCCTCCACGCCCAGACCTCCCATCCCTGCAGCCGACGTTCCATGGAGCATCCGAAACCCAAAGTGAGCGAACGATCAAGAAGAAGAAGAGAACACCTTTCAGTTTCAGTGCAGTGGTTAATAATTTGGTTCGCCGTACGTACCTGAGAAGGCCTTGGTGAGTTCCTGGTGCTCGTCGGCCATGGTGGCCTCCTTGACGATGCTCTGCTGCTGCTGCTGCTCTCTCCTGGGTGGCCTCGAACGCAGGGGCGACGGCGACGACGGTGGAGCTGCTGCTGCTGCTGCTGCAGTGCTGCCGTTACTGCTCGGCTGTGCTGCAAGAAACTGCTGCATCGGGCTGGCCTTTATACCAGAGGACGCACGCAGGCGTCCACCATCCAGGCATGGCCCAAATGCTTGTTAATTTATACTACTAGAGTACTAATACTATACCGCCTTGCCCATCGAATCGATCCTGCAACGTCTCTCGTGCATGCATGCATGTTACTCTACGTACCAACTTGATTACAATTCAATCCAGATAGAGGGTAACGTTGCAGGAGATTACTAGCTGATTGCCGTTCCGCGCCATCTCATTCAGACCCTGACCTGCCGTGTGTCGCTAATAGAAAAACAACCCGAGGAAATCGCATTCATGGTGTGCATGATGGCCACTCGTGCTGCACGTTTCCTTGCACAGTAAGCAAGGAACGACGACAGATGGGCAGATAGGTGTGGGCATGCACGATCGATGAGTTAATCAGTTCAACGTCCCGGCTAAATTTATTGGCAACACATGGGACTGCCGTTCATTAGGAAAGCAATCCAGCGCTGGCATGTGTCCACCTGGCTAATAAAAATGAAGAAGAAGAAGAAATCACAATGTCCGTTTTTCCCGAGTATTTAACCAAAAACGACCACAATTGACGGAAACGTGACGAAAAACTACCACTTTACGTTTTTGTGCGAAAAACTACCAAATTTGGACTAAACCGTGGCAAAAAACTACCAACTCGTGAAATCGCTCGCTTCGCCCGCGCTAACCCCGAATCTGACCGGTTGGGCCCGCGAATCAGGCGCCACGTTGGCTAACGGTCGCCCGCCGCGCGTAGATGGCCGTTAACGGCCCGTCCGCTGTCGGAACGGCGCCTGTCGGTGCGGTGCGGGTCAAATCTGATCCGTTCCCCTCTCGATTCACTCTCTCCCTCCTCTCCCTCTCTCTGACCTAGGTGGCGGCCGCCATGTCCTCGTTGATTCCGGAGGGCGGCGGCGCTGGCGGCGGCGACGCTGGCGGCGAGACAAGTTTGGACGCTGCTGCCTCGCCCGCGGCTCCACCGATGGCCAGCGGCTCAGTCGATAATTGGTTGGGGAGCACCAGTTTCTCGATGCAGGCCGGCTCGCAGCAGCCGGAGGCACCGCTCTCCCAGTCATCGCCAATGGGTCGCAGGTATGCAAGTATCATCTGCTGGGCTTTTGGTTAGCTGCTTCAACATTGCAAATTAGTAAGATGTGTTTGTTTCTGTTAGTTGGACATGTGTAGTAAACTGGAGTCAGTAAACTGTATAGCTCAGTCAATTTCAATTCAATTCATGAGCACTTATTTGTGCAGTTTGGCTGACCAGAAGTGGGATATATGGTTTCATTTAGAAGGAAGAAACCCTGTGAAAAGGGGTAAATTTGAGTCAGATATTTCTTTGCTTACTCTACAATCACTCATTGCTAGTGAAGGGTATGGGGACAGTGATTACATGTACTATGTGAAGGAGGAGGAAATTGGATCTGACAGAGTAAAGTATTTAGGTAATGAAGCTAGTGTTCATGAAATGTTGGACTTTTTTCATCATGTCAAGCTAGTCAACATAAGGGTTGTGAGAAATGTTGAACCTGGAATTAGTACACAGGCTAATGAGAATTACATGAACACTCAAGAGAGCTGCTGTGTGAAAAAGGTTGTGGAGCAATCTGAGCTTCAGAATCAGATAGATGATAGAAAGGCTCAGCTTGAGAGGAGCAGGATTCAAAGAGAGGCAGATTTGAACCACTTTGAAGGAGACACTGAAGTGTCTGAATTTTGTTCTGAGGATTCAGTTCATTCAGATGGGAGTGCTGAAGCTGTTCAACTAATGGAAATAGTGTGTGTCTCTGAAGAGGATACAACATTGCAAACTACTGCTATTGTGAAACATGTGAAGAATCCTGGTCCAACTAGCAGATGTCACAAAGAGGTAGAGAAAAAACGTTTTGAAGATTGGTTTCCTGAAGCAGATGAGTTTTGTTTTGCTGGTGATGCAGGCATAAGTGATGAGGAAGAAGTAGATGATGTTGAACTACCATACCTCATGAAGAAGCCAAACACAAAGAGTAGTAAGAAAAAGATGAAGGAAAGGCTATATTTTGACCCCTCAATTCCCAATTCACATTTACTCTTGTGCAAGAACTTGTGTTTTGATAGTGTTTACCAGTTCAAAGAAGCATTAAGAGATTTTCATATAAGGACTTTGAGGTCTTTTCACTACCACAGGAACACTCCAACAAGAATTATTGTTTGGTGTTCACAAAGAGAGCATGGATGTGAATTTTACATGTGTGCCTCTAGGATAGCTCATGAAAGAACATTTTGCATTAAGAAGTGTAACATGGAGCACACTTGTCCAGCATCAGCAGAGAACACAAAGGTTACTACTAAGTGGCTTTCCAAAGAAGTTGAGCCATCTCTTAGAGCAGATCCTAGAGCACCTGTGGATTCACTTATTAAAAACAGCAAAGTCAAGTTTTCAGTTGATGTATCAAAGAGTGTGGCCTATAGGGCAAGGAGGAAGGCTATGAAGGTTGTACAAGGTGACCAGAAGGAGCAGTACTATAGACCGAGGGACTACCTACAAGCAGTTCTTGACACAAACCCTGGTAGCAGGTGTGTAGTTACAACATTTGAGGACCCAGAAAACCCTGCCCCAACACCTAGATTTAAGTACATGTTCTACTGCTTGCATGCATCAAAGCAAGGATTTCTTAATGGTTGCAGGCCCTTTATAGGTAAATCTATAACTGCAATTTGTTCAAAATATCTTGTTGTAAATATATGGTAGCTAATTTGGGTATGGATGCAGGGCTTGATGGTTGCTTCATCAAGCTAACCACTGGACAGCAAATACTTGCAGCCACAGGAAGAGATGGCAATAACAACATCTACCCCATAGCCTTTGGTGTGGTTGATAAGGAAGATTCAGATAGTTGGACATGGTTCCTAACCCAGCTAAGATGTTGCATTGGAAGTGGTAGCAAATTTGGAACCTACACCATTATTTCTGACAGGCAAAAGGTATGCACCCTATCTTAGCCACTAGTTCAGATATATATTGTTATTAGTAGCTTTATTTCCTTTTGTTCATGACCATGGTTATAAATTTACAATCAGGGTCTTCTTAAGGCTATAAATGAGGTGTTCCCTGATTCCCCTCAGAGATACTGCCTCAGGCACATATATGCAAATTTTCAGTCAGCTGGTTTCAGAGGAGCAGAACTAAAGAAGCTAGTAGATCAGGCTAGCTACTCATTCACCAAACATGGCCATGAATTGGCAATGGCAGAGCTTAAAGCAGAGTGTGAGGATGCCTGGAAGTGGCTTAAAAAAATTCCAAAGGAGACTTGGTGTAGGTCTGCAATGGATTACAATTGCAAAACTAATCTTGTTGTGAACAACCTTAGTGAGGTTTTCAACAAAATGATCCTTGATGTTAGGGCCAAACCAATTAGGACTATGTTTGAAGGAATTAGGACTAAGCAGATGATCAAAAGGCAGAAGACTAGGGAAAAAACAGAGAACAGCAGATGGATGATCACACCCAACTATTCAGAGAAATTAGAGGAGAATAAGAAGTATGCCAAATTTTGTGATGCATATAAGGCAGGTCCTGACATTTGGCAAGTTAATAGTAAGGAAAATCAGTACTGTGTGAACCTAGCTACTCAATCATGTGACTGCAGGAGGTGGGACATGACAGGTGTGACATGCAGTCATGCAATAGCAGCAATGAGCAAGATTCACATGCACCCAGAGGACTATGTGCATGAATTTTTCAAAAAAGCACTATATATTGAAGCATACAAAGACATAGTGTACCCTGTCCCTGGTCCTGAATTCTGGCCTGACACCCATACTCCTGATATTGAGCCCCCAGTGTTCAAAGAAAAAGCAGGCAAAAAACAGACAGCTAGGAGAAAGGGGCAGTTTGAGGTGCCTGCTCCAAAGGACACAAGCAGGATGGAAACAATTACATGCAGCAATTGTGGTCTACAAGGCCACAGATATACTAATTGTGGGAAAGCTCTAAAACCTAGTCTTGAGATGAGAAAGAACTTACACCAGGTCATTCAAAAATGATGCATTCTTTGTTTAGTTTTTTTAGTTCTGGTATATTTACTAACTGATTTAATTTTGTCATGCAGGAGAATAGAGAAATTTTTAGTTCTAGTGCTACACATCCACCTCCACAACCACCACCTCAACACCAAACTACACAGATGCCAGCATCATCAGCTCCACCTCCTAAAGCAAATAAGAGAGGTTCAACATCAACAGTTTCAGCAGGAGCAGCCAGGTCTTCACCAGCACCTGCAACAGGATCTGCATCAACAAGAGCTGCAAGAACAAGAGGATCAGCATCTACAAGAACATTCAATGCACCAAGAACATCCACTGGAGAACCAGGGATATTGGCAGGCAAGAGGAAGAGGAAACCTCCTAGCAAGTTTGCATCCTATTTCAATGCTAGTGGAAACTATTGAGTGTATGCTACTTATTTGTGTTCTGCTACTAAGTTTGTGTTCTGCTACTAAATGTGTGTTGTGCTACTAATTTCTGGACAATGTGACATGTGAACTTATTTGTGCCCAATACAAATGGGCTAAGTGCTACTGAGTTGTTTTGATTTGTTTTTTTGTTTTACTTTGCCATTTCTACAGTACAGAACTTATTGCCAAATTCATTGTACAAAAAAAATCTGCACAAAAAAAAGTCTGGCCTGGGGCTCGAACCCAGGACCAGTTGGTTGTAACTATGCGTTCAATACAAATGGGCTAGTGCTGGTGATTTGTTTGACTAGTATCGGCCAAACTTATTATATGTTGTTAGCCACGTCCTCTTTTCAGCGTGCGTAGCAGCCGACAGCGTGGACCAGTCGTTTCGGATTCTACTACTTTATTACGTGTCCACCCACCACGCCCTCTCCTCACTCGCCCACTCGTCGGTCGCACCGCCCACTCCACTTCCCCCTCTCTCCTGTCAAAATCACCGCCGACAACCACCACCACCGCCGTCGCCATGGAATGGCAGCTCGCCATCGAAGCTCTCGGCG